TAAATTGATTTATTTTCAATTATTGAATTCTTTTAAGTAATGAGTGAAATTTAGATTCTTAGTTGTGACAAAAAAGAATCAAAGTCTTGAAGGGCTAAGGACAACTTAAAATACATATTAGCAGTGTTACAGAAAAGAACAAAACAACAAAGGCTGTCTTTAGTTGGAAATAAGGATATGGTATAGCACATTAGAGCCACATTAAAGTTTCTGAAAATTGATTAGATAATATAGGTAATAATTTAAGAAGATGCCATAGTTAACAGTTTATAGGCTTAAATATACAATTGAAGCAAGTTCTAGAAAACTTGATTATAATAAAATATCTAATGCTCTAGAGAGGGCTGCTGATACTGTGATGATGTTTTTAAGGAGCTCCATGGCTAAGTTAAATGACAACGCTATTTTGTCTTTGCAGCTACAGAAAGGCATTTAGTTGTGCATAATTGGGTTTACTCTTCGAGTAGTACCCTAGTACTTCTGAAAACCATCACTAATAAACAGGACAACATGTTTGAATTCAGAGTCTTACATACACTTAATGCAGAGATGTTTGATTGTGTATATCCAGTAGCTATACAAGAAAACTGGTACCATTATAACCTTGGTTGGTATCAGTGACTCATGTCAACTGAGTAATTTGTGGGCATGTGTTTTCTGTTTTCTGTTGGTCTCTGCGTTGTTTATAATGAGGCTAGAACTTTAGGCATTTTATTTGGTATCAGGTAATTTAGCTGATTGCTACAGGTATGGGTTAGGAAGATAAGGTTTTAGTAGCTTGATGGCCTTTCAAGCTATTTTAGTTCAATACTGGACTCAAGAACTTATTCCTCTATTTAGAGGGGCAAATGGTACTCAACACTTCTGATGAAAAAAAATAATTTTACAGTTATCAGATTTGTATGTGGAAAACAATTTTTCCTCCTGACTTGAACCACCACTGAACCACCACAGTACTGAATTATACAGGACTTTTACAGCTGTTGTCACAATCATTTTTTTTAATATTGATGGCTGGTTGAGAAAAGCCGATGGCTCACCTGTGACACAAAAAGAGCAGGAGCTATTAGAGATTTCTACTGCATTCAGCCCATCATTCTTTACTAACCCCCTTTTTATTTAGCATTAACATTGTGCAAGATGAACTTGAATCCAAAACTGTGTGTGTCCCTTTGCTTGGCTAAATGATAAGTAAAAGTTTTCTCCTCTGAAAAAATATGAATAAAATAATTATTTTATTTTTTAACAAATCTATAAGGGATGAATTAAGATTGTTTTCAGGCAGTTTATTTGTGATGGTGGTTCTTCAGGTGTATGAGCAAGTGCAAAGTCCTCCTTTCAGTTACGATCTGTGCAGTGGTAGTCATCATTTTGATTGCTCAGGCCAAAAAAAGAATTGCTAATGTTCCAAAGGGTTCTGCACACCAAGAGGAACAGAATAGGACTGTAACTATAATTGGATGATTCCTTGTCTTCACAGCTACAGGCAGTGTAGAAAGGATTGACTGATCACTTACTGAGGGGTGGTGGTTGTGTCACTTTTTGGAATGGTCTTCTTGCAAATCTTTGGTGGGCTCTTGCTTGAGGTAGATTGCACACACTGGTCTTGGGCACCCACTCCACATTTGTGGCTCAAGCAGACTGTGGAGCTCTAAACAAACATGTTTTTTAAAGGCTTTGAGGGTCCAGACTTCTTGCCAGCTGACATTACAGAGGATCTGCTGAAGATTGCTAAAATTATGTATACCTGTCTCAACTGTGTAGAAACTCATAACTTAATGACTTCAAGTAGTTAGCTTTGTCGTATTGAACCACAGCTGTTGCCTGGGGTTTATGGTTCTTCATCAGTTCTAAGTAGTATCCAGCTGTGCAGTCATTTTGTAGAATATTCCCTAGACTAAATTATTATTTCACTTCATCTGTGATCAAACTCAAACTATGTAGTTTGCTTTACATGTTGTATGCTTTTATGTTATGTGAAGAGTTGTATTCTCAGGTTGAATTGACTAATCCCAGGAGTGAGTTCTCCATGGAGTATGCAATCATGGAGTATGCATTACTTCTCTACACTAAATATTTTTCTGAAAGAATTCACTGTGCACTTAAAAATGCAGCAATATAGGTTCATTTCTGCTAAATATTTACTTGGAAATTTGATAGACAATCAGAAACAAAGAAAGTAGCCTCATACTTAAAGCTATATTAAAATATAAGCCTATAATAATAAGATAATAATTCATCAGAACTAATAGAATATTAGAAAAGGTCTTCACTGAAGACCTGAAACTTTACCTCTTAATCAGTGATCAAGAGTGTGATGGTTCAAAAAGAAGCTTCAGCTAACTACTCATGTGAGCTGCTGCTCATCAGTAGGTGTAGCAGACTTTCAAACTCACCTTAGAGCTCTGGGAACTTGGGAAGCGTAAGTTTTATTCACATAGTGTCTTTTAAATCACTTAAGTTTACTAGGTTACTTTTGCTCTCTTTGCAAAAGCATGTTTATGTGCATTCTGGGGAAGGATGTATGTGAGTGACCATTTAAGGGTTGGGGTTTGGGGATTTTTTTTAGTGGTAGAAAGCTTGTCCAAACTTGGGACAATGGTCAGGAAGTTTACAATCTGAACATTGTTCTGGAAAGAAATATTTTTTAAATAAAGATTGAAACAAAGTGAAGACTTCCTTCGAAGTTATAGGCTTTTGTTTTTTTATCCCAGGTTCCTGTTCTTTCTTCAGGAAAGTACCAAAGCAGTAAACAGGACTCCAAGGTAGTGAGATGCACCAGTTGAATGTGTAGCCACCTTGTTCATAGTGTACATTCAGAGGAACAGTGAAGTCTGTGATCTTTTCAGAAATAAAAAGCCAAAAACTAATACATACATTCCTCTGGGCTGTAACCTTTATTTAGTATTCTTCTGGAGGAGACTTAAATTATTAAGTTTAATCCAAATATGCATTTTGTGGTTTTGTTCTGGTTTTAATTTTTTTAAGGATTTTTTTTCTCAACCCAACGTTATTAGAAGTCAGACTCCATTGTTTTTCAGTCTTGCTTAGTTGGTAAAAAGTATTTGAGCACATGATACAGAAATTATCTATGATTTGCCATAGAAGCTCAAAAAACCCTAAAAATTCTGATTGGTTGTCCCATATTAATTGCTTATCTTTCCAAGTTGCAGAGGAGGACATATGAATGCATATGATTCTCCTGATACTTTTTCTCCAGTTTCACCTGTATGTACTTCATGATATGTTGGATATACAATGAGAAACAGTTAAACATGGATTTATTTTTTGTATCTGGGTACAGGTTACTTAAATGCACAAACTGGTACTTTCTTTACTCTCATAAACATCGAGTTTGGTATGTAACGGTCTAGTTGCGTTTATAGAACTAAGGAAAATAAACAGTCTTGTAGGGCTTGCAAGATGATGGATGCTCTAATCCAGTGGAAATTTTGACTGCTGCTAAGTTGGTGACAATGAGTTTAGTCGGTGCTTTAGCTGGATTTTTCATTGTGAAGCTTTTCCTGCATTGTGTTTGTGCTCTGGAGGACTGAGTTCTTTTAAGTTGACACTGAAATATTTTATAATGGAAAAATGGCTTTGACTCTGCAGTCAACAGACTGTGTGGCAGTCTTCATGTTACTATTGCTTTCCTAACATGATTTTTTATCTCACGTTAAGATTTCAAGAGACTGAAAAATTATGAGTTCATCTGTAGACTCGCTCACCTAACCACCTCCAGTACAATGAAGCTAAAGCTAATTTCCAGTTATTCCTAACAGTTCCATGAGGTTCTGTGGGGAATACAGCTTGGTGCATTTCCTACTTCAAAAATTCTATATTAATGGTCAAGTGTGGAAATGGTAGATCTGTTGTTATTCAAGAGGGGGCTGTAGTTTGTCAGACTCAAGCATATTTTGTGTACTGCATGGAGATGTATTGCAGAAAAAATAAACCTACTTTACACGTGCATAATATTCAGTGACATTACATAGATGCTTCTGTGCCATGTAAGGTCTTTAGCATTATTGTATGTATGTTCCAATTTTATTCAGCCTAATGCTAACCCTGTTTGGAATACTAGGCACTCAATCTGGTAGGTTAATCTTTTTGTTTATTATGTCTTATGATGGTACAGAGTAACAAGTTTTAAATTAAACACTTTATAAACAACCAGATTAGAAATTGCTTCAGACATGGTGGAGAATAAAATAGCCCAAAGTTATTCTTTGTAATTAATTAGCAAAGTTTTGCACTGAATACCTCCATTACCAATTTCAAGTGGGAAAAATTAGATTGTGAACTTTTTAATGTGTTTATGAAGGCTTCTTACACTCTAAACCCACACTTTAGTAGTGCTGCATTTCCTGAATGCATTAGTGTTATTTAGAAGGTGTTTTTTTTATTGTTACAAACTAAAAAATAAGTTTGCATGCAATTTACAGTTGGCACATAGCATTTATTGCTGTTGTGTGTCCATTACTTTTTGCTATTTACAATGCATCCTAATGAAACACTTCAAGATAAGCCAGGTATTCTAGTGTGTCTGGGCATAAATGCACGTTTGTATGTTCTTACACTGTTGATTCGCGCTTAATATTTGCTACTGCTTTAGGGCTGTTTCTAGTTATTTCAGGGAATGTGGGGTTTTGCGTCCAAATGCTATATGTTTTTCAGGATGGTGCTAGTCTCACAGTTATTTTGTAATAAAATCCCTCTAAAATAACACTTTTTAAATTGAAGTGACAACTTGATTTAACAGGGAAAGAAGGCGCTGCATTTGCTGACACTGAAATGGTATTAATGCATGTAAAGTGTGCTGCAAGTGCATAGCTCTTTTCTAACCTGCAGGGTATCACTCTTCAGATGTTATTTTAAAAATATGTTTATTAACTTGTTCAGATATAACTTAAAAAGTTGTTGTTAAAGGCATGCATCCAGAGACATGCACACAATGATTTCAAAGTGTCAATGTTTCAGGGAATCTAAATTATTTTCAGAATTTCAGAAATTGAGAAGGGATAAGTGGAAGGAGAAAATGTTGGGCTGGTGCCAAGCGATAGCTCGTAACCCTCACAGACTTCCAAACAGCACAAGAACACCCGAGGTCTCAGGTGATGCTTCACATAACTCTTCTTTGGTGAGTGAAAAGTTGCATTTCATGATGGTGGCATGCTCAGATGAACTTCAGAGGTGTTACATTTAATTTATTTTAAAAATTGTACTGTTTGCCATTGCTTGCATTGCCTCAGTGTGTGAAACCCTTTGATATTTACTCTTTCCATTTGCTTTTTTTTCACCTTTTTTGTTATGCATGGTCCATTCTGACTTGCATGTTGTCTATAAATCAATATTGGTGTTTTGTGAATGGTAAAGTCTTTAAGCAGGAGATGACCTAATATGGATTACTTACATTCTTTGTGATTTTAATCAGTGCTATGGCATTTGGTCCCTGATGAATACAGATGGACAATATCTAAAGGTACCTCATTTGCTCTTTGTTCCTGACTGTAACAGGAACAAAGTATAGTATGTCTAAACTTGTGTTAGATGACTGGATTTTAAAATTATTTTCATATCTTAAACACGGTGTTGCAAGTGATGGTTGAGATAGCTTGCAGAGCTAGTAATAGTAGATGTTCAGGCAATGTAAAGTTGACAGTTTACATAGTGGAGTTAATGTGAATCATATGAAATTCAGTAAAGTTACTCATTGATAAGAATTTTAACCCTGCAGTTTTTGCTCATTGAAATAAAACCACTTGCATCAGTAGACCTCTGCAGGTGAGTAAGAACTGATACTTGTATGTAAAGGCTTCAAACTGCCGTCCATCTAAGAGAAAAAAATTGTTTACTTGTCTACTTGTTTTAATTCAACTGACTTTTTCATACTACAGCAAGACTGATTATTTGAAACGTATTCAGTTAAATATGCCTGCTCCAATTTGATTAGAAAGTGTAAAGTAGGCACTATATTTTTCTATCCTAAGAAGCATGAGTGATCAGGAAGTACTACCCTCCAATTGTTGAAACATGGCCAGGATGACATTTAAGCCGAAAGGTGAATAATTATTCCTAACCACTGATGAAGTGTGGTATTCCAAAGAATTATAAATAAAGAGACAGTGGTCTGCTTGAAAGTTGTTGAAGTTTTGGTGAAAAAAAGCCCATACTTAATGTGACAAAATTATTGCGTTCAATGGTGAATTATATAGAATGTAAGTTTCTGCTACAGAAGAGAACACAAAAAGGTAGCATTAAAAGTGGAAGATTTTGCAGTTTACTGTATATCCTAGATTGTTAGTATAGCTCACCTTCATCTAGAATACTTTAAGAGAAGGGTTCACCTGAAAGACAACACAGTCATTGGTCACAGCCAACATGGCCTTCATGAGGGAAAAGTCCTGCTTATCCAACCTGATTCCCTTTTATGGCAAGGTAACCCACCTAGCTGATCAAGGGAAGCCAGTTGCTGTAATCTTTTTGGATTTCAGTAAAGCTTTTGGTACTGTCTCTCACAGGATCCTTCTGGACAAACTGTCCAGCACACAGCTGGATAAACACATCATGTGGTGGGTGAGCAATTGGCTCACAGGTCAAGCACAGAGGGTAATAGTGAGTGGGGTGACATCAGACTAGTATCTTGTCACTAGTGGGCTTCCACAGGGCTCCATCTTGGGCCCTGTCGTCTTGAACGTCTTCATAAATGACACAGGACTGGAAGGGATAGTTTGCAAATGACACAAAACTGGGAGGTGTTGACTCCCTTGAAGACAGGGAGGCCCTGCAGAGAGATCTCAACAAATTAGAGGACTGGGCAATCACCAACCATATAAAGTTCAACAAGAGGAAGTGCCAAATTCTGCATCTGGGCTGGGGCATACCTGGATGTACCTACAGGCTGGAAAATAAGATGTTGGAAAGCAGTGCTATGGAAAGGGACCTGTGGGTCCTGGTCAATGGGAAGTTGAATATGAGTCAACAGTGCCCTGGCAGCCAGGAGGACCAACTGTGTCCGGGGGGGCATCAGGCAAAGCATCAGCAGCCGGTCGAGGGAGGGGATTGTCCTGCTCTGCTCTGCACTGATGTGACCTCACCTTGAATATTGTGCAGTTTTGGGCACCACAATATAAGAAAGATATTCAGCTTTTAGAAAGTGTCCAAAGGAGGGCAACAAAGATGGTGAAGGGCCTTGAGAGGAAACCGTATGAGGAGCCCTCTTACTGAGGGGAAGAAGAGGGCAGGCACTGATCTCTCTTCTGTGGTGATCAGTGACAGGACCCAAGGAAATGGCCTGAAGTTGTCTCAGTGGAGGTTCAGGTTGCATATTAGAAAAAGGTTCTTCACCCAGAGGGTGGTTGGGCACTGGCACAGGCTCCCCAGGGAAGTGGTCACAGCACCGAGCCTGACAGAGTTCAAGGAGTGTTTGGACAGTGCTCTCAGGCACATGGTTTGACTCTTGGGGATGGTCCTGTGCTGGGCTAAGAGTTGGACTTGATGGTTCTTGTGGATCCCTTCCAACTTGGCATATTCTGTGATTCTGTGAAATTAAAAAGCAGTAATTCTATGAAAAGAGAAATTTCATGTACATTATCTCCACATTTAATTACTATTACAATTTTAGTTTCACATTTAATTACTTTTACAATTTAGGTATTACTAGTAATATGAGGTATCATTAAGGAATTGAGATATGTGGAAATTTGCATATTTTGATTTCTGCTTGACTGCTAGTCCACATTTAATTTGGTTTGATATTCCAGAGATAAGCATTTCAATATATCAGATGGGATTTAGAAATGATAAACTGGCAATATAGTTCAGAATTGTTGAATCCATAAGGTTAGTATCTTTTAACTTTATTAATACTAAAACTTGTTCAAAAATAAGTTAGCATGAAGCTAAATAGACTGCTGCTTAGTTGATGAAGTGTGTAAGAAAGCCAGAGATATAAACAGCTGAGGAAGATATTGTGTGTCCCTTAATGTCTATAGAATTATAATCTTCTCAACAGGAAATAAAACAGTAATAATATCTCTTGATGCCTGCCAAGCTTTCCTTTTCATTTTCTTTGCTTCCTACTCCTTTAACCATTGCTTTTACTTTCCCTCACTTCTGAAGTAAATGATATTCAGTATAAGCTTTTACTTTCAATGTCTTTGCAACTTGCAAGCTGTTGACTGAAATTCCTTATTTTACTTGTGAATATTTTTAATCTGAAAACTTGTTTCAAATCAATTTTGATTTTGCTTAGTAGTCTTTGCCTTTCACTACTGAAAAATTTTCCATTAGGTTTTGAGTGAAGATACAGACTTTGGCACTGGAAAACCAAATATAATGAAACAGCAGAAAGTAAAAAATATAATAAATTATTTGTTCTAAGGGTACAAATCCACTTCTGATGAGCTGTTCAAGTCCCTTCTTTCTGAATTAACCTTTCATTTCTCACAGCTCCTCTGTGGACCTGATTCAGCTAAGGCTTTTTAAAAGACTTTCTATTTAAAAATAATCCCTAAAATGGGTATTTCACAGTCCCACTTTTCCAAAGGTAAATGCAAAGAAAATTACAAAGAAGTCTCATTAATTTTTCATAAAATCATAGAATAGGTTGGAAGGAATCTCAAGGATCATCTGGTCCTTTCTTGGCATAACCACAATCTAGACAAGATGGCCCAGCACTCTGTCCACACAAATCTTTAAAGTTTCCAGAGATTGTTTCAAAGGCTCATTGTTCTCATTACAAAACATTTTCCTCTTGAATCTCATCTGAATGGCCCCAAGAGTAGTTTGTACCCATTACCTCTTGCCTTTTCCTTGCGACTTCTTGTCAAAAGGGAGTAGCCACCTCTTTGTAGCCACCCTTGAAATATTGGAACATAGTGATAAGGTCTTCCCTAAGCTTGCCTTTCTCAAGGCTGAACAAACCCAGTTCTTTCAGCCTTTTTTCACATGGCAGGCGTCCCAGTCCAACTGATGGAAAGAAATGTTTTTCTCTCTTAGTGGAAGAAAGAAGTAAGTTTGTGGAGTAGGAAGCAGGTTATGATCATTAACAAATAGTTTTTTTCATTACATGGGTAAATGGAATACTGAACAGCAGCACAGGAAAAATACAAAAGAAATTGACTCACTAAAATATTTAAAGAGTTTGATCAAATCAGTTACACCATTTCCCTCCCCACGGCCACTTTCTCACTCACCCTCTGTGGAATGGGAAAGAGAAGCAGAGCAGAAAAGTGAGAAAAATCATGAGTTAAGATAAAGACAGTTTAATAGGCAAGGCAAAAGCCACAAATGCAAGCAAAATGAGGAATTTATTCACTGCTGCCCATGGCCAGGCAGGTGTTCAGCCATCTCCAGGAAAACCAGGTTCTGTCATGCAAAATGGTTACTTGGGAAGGCAAACACCACTCTGAATGTTTCTGCTTCCTCCTTCTTCTTCTTTCAGCTTTATATACTGATCATGACACCATAGGGTAGGATTTATCCCTTTGGTCAGTGGGGTTCAGCTGTCCTGACTGTGTTCCCTCCCAGCTTCCTTGCTGGTGGGATGGGATGAGGAGCAGAAAAGGCCTTGATGTAAGCCTTGCTTAGCAATAACTGAAATGACCCTGTGTTATCAACACTCTTTCCAGCAAAAATCCAAAACATAGCCCTAGCTACTATGATGAAATTTAACTTTATTCTGGCCAAAACCAGTACAGGTTTTCCTCCAGTGATGATAAACTGAGAAGCTGGGGTTTAACTGTAAGTTATGCTAACTATGTGAAAGTTCTGAATAGTGTAGGTATGATGTATCACTAGATGATCTTTAAAGGTCCCATCGAACCTAAATGATTCCTTAAATCTATGATCTTTATATAAACCCCCAAATTTAATTTCAGAACAAGAAGGATCTCCTGATCTGAGTTTGAGGTCTTTGGCTGCCTGATTTCCCTCAAGGTAATGTAATTCCTTGGTGAAAATTGTATGAAATAGGGTCATCTAGGTTTCCCTTAGCAGTGTAAGCCTTGAATTTTTAATCTGACAGGGAGTGAGGGGATGTTTAAAAATTTAATTAAAATTTAATTTTAATTTGTTATAGAAAAACTGTGTAATTTAGTACTCAAAAACTAGATGTAAGAAAAGAGTAGTTATCTAAGA